TAAGTGGGAGAACTTGCACAATTGGTGGCTGACTAAATACTTTTTTGCCCCACTGTACCACTGTATTCACATCTCCAACCAACAAAACTCTAAGATCACCCACAGGCATTCCTTTTATATTTATCTATAAATAAACAACCATACTTATCTTACTCCCTACTCAGTATTCATCCATTTGCTAGCCATACTTTTTACTCCCATGCATGCTTTATTTCCATCTTATACCATTCTTATCACATTCATCAACTAACCTAGAATTTCATATTTGTGTATAGTGTTCCAAAATTCAAGCATTACTATTTTATTGTATGCTTTCTCTAAATCAATGCATTCACAATAAACTTTCTGACATTCACACATTTATCAGTGATGATTGCACAATAAAATTTTAAAACCTTGGTAGTCTTATACCTTAAAAAAGAATTATGGGAAAGAGAGAACAAGTCCTTGAGTTAGAAGCTACCAGCATCACAAATGGAAAAGCCTTGTTCTACCTAAATGAGAAACATTCTACTATAGATGACAGTACTAACTATATCTTTGATTATTCTGCTTTTTATATTTTTGAGACTGCCATCTGTAAACTGGATGCTAATAGAGAACTACATTGTTACTTATTAGTGAGTTTTAACAAGGCTGATCCAATAGAACAACAAGGTAAGATACTGTTCTATTAGGGCAGCTTGTGTGACAGTTTTTAACTGAAAGGGCTTTCAAATGCTGCCTTACTAGAGAGCATGATACTAAAGAATGTGAAGCTTACACATTAGTATCCCCCTAATTTGTTCAGACAGAAAGTATGATGCCTGACTGCTCCAGTACTGAACAAAAGGTACATTACACTAGTTATTTAGTGCTCTGGCTTGAGAACTGACAGTTCCTGCTCTGCAATTTCTCTCTGATGCCAGAGTACATTAACTGTAAAGCTAGAGGGGAAGAGAATTGCTGCTTATAAAATATAAAGGACAGGGTTTATAGGCACTAAAGCAATTCAGCTGTTTTGTAGTCACTGGTCAGCATAATTGTATGTATGATCCAGTCAGCTAGAGTCAAGTCAGCTCTTGTAGAATTATTTCAGTTCCTGTACTTCAGGGGTTGTGTTTCTTTTCTTTTTTTTCATCTTTATATCAACTGTTAGGTTCTCCTCAAATAGGGGCTTCACAGCAATTGGCTGCAATGTTGATTCTACAGCACGGAGCACAAAATAATAGATAGACATCTTAACATTCTCCCCGCAGCAAGAAGCTCATCTGTTTTCTATTAGTCCAAAACTGCTCTCTGTTCTGGAGACTTCGCTTCAAATTCCCCTGAACTTTTTTTTTTTTTTTTAACACTGACAATCAATTTAAGCTTTCCAAGCACTTTATTCTGAGAACAAAGCATTTTTCAAGTCAACTCCTATGCACGCGAGTTACATAGAACCATATGTTAAACTGCATGATTAGCTACATTTCAAAGTTAAGGTAATTTCCTTATTTATAATCTAATATTATTTCACTCTTTAAGATCCACTGGTTATAAAAGGCATCATTTCAGCATGTATTGTTTTGAGAAGAAATAGTGGTTGCTACCTAATAAGGTTAAAGGAACAGTTGGCTGCCTAATGAGAGATGCTACCACTTTGTTAAAGAGCAAAAATTAACAAGCAGCAAAACATTCAATAACAGAAATGCTATATAATTTCAGAGTATGTTGTTTTGCTTAATTCTAAAACCTACAGTAATTTTTGAGGGTGTAGCTATGTCCTTTTTAACAACCAAAATTAGAAGAAATTTGTCCCTGTTAGCTTGAAGATATTTCATATACATACACACTTTCTACTGAAAAGGATCAGTCTCATGAGAATAAAACATCAGACACAAGGACAGTAACAGAACTATGGTCTAAAGCAGCTTTATTTGTATCAGGGGTATTACCATCTGCTGTTTAGAAAAAGGTCTTTTGTTTAACATTTGGTGAAGCAGGAATTGCAATTATGGGGAAAAACAGGTTACATTTAGTCTGCTGCAAACTACTTATAAATGTATCAAATTATAAATGAAAGTGATGGGTAAAATGCTTCTAAGAGGTCTGGCTTAGGACTGCTCTCAAATTTTGCAAACCATTTAAGGAATATGTTGCTTTAAAGGATTGGTCTATTAATACTCTAATTCAGTATACAGAACACTTTCATTATATAATATAAATTATTATTTATATAAATTAGGCTGTCAAGTTGATACTAATTACAGCACTTAATGTGAATTAAGTAGCTTGCATCCCTTCAATCACATAAGAAAGGGGGCGATTTCTCCCAAATACTCTGTTGATGGCTGTCCAAGGTATTCTCTAGCCCCCAGGAGCAGAGGAACAGTTAGCAGAATGCAAATTAGGACTCAGGGCAATGAGTTAACTAGGATTCAGAGTAAGACCTCAGAGCTAAGATTAGGAGTTCTGTCAAATCTTTCTGAACCACACTGAGATATATAGTGACATCTCAAGATCATTTTTAAAATTTTGTATAGGATGCATTCAGAAGAGGGCAAAATGATACAAGAAGTTGGCCCAAGGAAAGAGAAAAATGAGCAGATGTAAAGGTTGTATAAAATATTTGATTAAGCAATGAGGCAATAATTCCCAGGGATAATATGATTACGGTTTCTATTTTTAAAAAAACCAAGCTATAATACCTTGACTATGTCACAACCTCCTTGAGCAGAGGTGAGCATTCCCCCCCCACTCTGGAGGTTAATTTTTTGAGACAGAGGCTTGGTTAGTGACACTGGAATGGGATGGGTGAATTTTTTGGTATTTTTCTTAGTTGGAGAATTTGGGTGGGGCTACAAAAAATGTATGCTTAGCCTCCAAAGTTTAATATATCTGTTTTAAATATTAAAATAGAAGTGGAGTCAGGGAGCCACAAAAGTAGACTAAATAACTATACAGAAGCCAAATTGCTCATATCTGCTCAGGACTTATGGTTGGTGACATACCTCTAGTCACCTCCATTTTTTAGCTAGCATTCCATTAACATTGCTATTTAAACAATTATCTTGTTTTTTGCACTTAAAAATATTTTTAAAACATGGACAGTAAAAAGCTGCAGAGCTTCAGCTTTCAGCTGCCCCACCCTCTTTACTTCCTATAATGTTTCTGGTTGAAACATGGTCTAGAGACACTCCTCTAAAAATATTTTCTAGCAATTTGCTGAAACGCTTCTTTAAAAAAGAAAAAAGAGCTGCTTGGGTGATGACAAAAAGACAGTAAAAAGTGATCAAGCAACCTAAACATTGGTCGGGGGCAGCAGATGGGAAATTAAGACTGAGAAAGAAAGAGCGAAAGGCAGGCATGAGTATATGCTGACAAAATACATAGAAACTTGGCATTATGGAGAAGAAAATGAGTGAAAGTGCTTGGTAAAAAAATGGCAGGCTTATCTTCAAAATGACAGAAAATATTGGATGTTTAATCTCTAAAACCATGGATATGACAGAAAAGAGACCACACAATATCCGGCTTGCATATGCTGAATTGCTAATGGCAGAATTGTAATGACCAGACCTTTACAACAGAAATTTGAAACAGTCACCTCAGGGACACACAGGGTGTGTGCTGCAAGAGTTGTGCTGGTAAATATATTCATAATATTACTTTCATCATTTTAACATGTGAACTTCATCCATTCCAAGACAAATGAAAGCAACTGTTAATTAAATAACCTCCTCATGGTAAACAGGTTTGTCTTTTTCAGCTTAGACAGCTGTCCTACCTCTGCCGTTTATTTAGGTTCATGAACAAATTTACATTTTAGCATGTATGCCTGACAAACTATAATTAGCCATGGGAAGCTTTTAGTGAGGCATCTGTGACACTGAAAATTTCAGAGGTACCTACTAGTCCAAAACATCTACAGACCAAAATACCCTAGACAAAGTATCTAAGGTGCCATTAGGTTGCAATAAATGCTATCATTGCTAACTCTGTAAGATAGAAATTCTGCTTTTGGAAGGAGTAGGGAACAGGAACACAAAACAAAAATAATAAAATATTAGCCTATAGGACTCATTTTCAATAAAACACTTTTTAATATACAACTTTATTCACATTTCTAAAAAAAGAAGTGGCTGAGATGCAAAATAGTTCCTTATGACTATTCCAAATGTCTCACTGATGCAAAAAGGACATCTCTGGAAAAGTATGGGTGCAGCAACAATGTCTGTATATGTATATAAAATCAGGTGATTTTATTTATCAGCAGTGGCAGATACCTTTCAAAGGAGATTTTGCATAAAAGATGTTTAAAAACAGTTGAGTTCTGTTCTACTGTAATAGATTATTTGCAACATTATAGCACGTTACAGTTCAAGTAATTGTACATTTCATTTTACCACTTGAAATGTATGGACAAAGAAAACTTTAACGGCATTCAAAGAATAGTGATCAAGGTTTATTTTTCCAGCTGTACAATCTTAAATATGCAACAACATAAATAAAATCAAGCCGTCCATATTGGACAGAAACACACATTCCATTTTGAACAAGGCACTGATTTACCACAATGCAGTATGCCAGCATTAAGGTGGATCACTGAATTCCCAGATTATTTCTTTCACTGTCCTGAGTCAGCTGTTCCAGTATGTTTAAAATAACTTCTGTTCTTTCCAGCAAAGTTAGGTTTTTGTTTGCTGCTGACCGCAAGAGAAGTGAGTAAGCATACTTATTCACCTTAAGATTTTCTTCATCTTTACTGCTGGAGAAAAGTGGAACACAGGTTATCCAAATACATAATGAACTCTAAAAAATACTGTCTTCACTACAGCACATCAATAGGAACAAAAAACATTTTCATTTGTTCAAGAGGGAAGGTTCCCTAATTTACACCAATTTCTTCCCCGCTGCAGGCTTTTGAGTCGCATAGTGCTTCCAGAAGTTCCCCAAATCCTTAAGAACAGTTTTTCAAGGGGTTTGAAAGCTTCCTTGTGGCGGCAGTTTATTGGATCAAAAACTTGTATTCCTTCAGAATGCAACCATTTATAATGTTAACTGAAGAGGCCTTTTTGCATATTCCTTCCCCACCCTTTTTCATAAGAAAGCAGATAGAAATCAGTTTACCCTGTGTGAAAACGGAGAAATTACCCTCTTATCTTTCTGAGAAGGCAGAAAAACTAAAATTCATTCCTTTCTCCTAACTGGAGTAAACTATGTTATCCCATTCTGTAAGTTTTCATCAGGGCCTCTTAAAAGTTTGCAACATCTCCACCTTTCTTATGATCCCTAGTACTGTCGGAAAGAACTATATTCATTCCAGTTCTTCACTGTGGTCTTCTTCATGCACACACATGGTTACTCACCTGTGTAGAATTAACTGTTTGGCAGGAGTCCTCCCCATATTTGTGTACCATGCAGCTAGGCACAGTTCCTACCAAATCCATTTGCTTTGCTTTTTACCACCACTGTTAGCATATTAGTCTCATCCTCAAATTGATTTTCCTTTTTGCTCTATAAAATTTCATTTTTTCTTTTTTATTCTCTTTAATCTTATCTCAGTTCTTCAGAACTCCATAAAAGTATTCATCAGCACAACTTCTCATGTAAGCATCCAGCCCTGGCTTTACGGCCCCATTCACAAACACCAATGTTACAGTAGCAAACTTCCCCTTCAGATCAGCATAAACTTTTTCTTTGCACCTTAGTAAGCACTTTGTAAGTACTGTTAGTTATTTACCAAAGAGACTAATCATAACTGTTCTCATTTGGGAGCTAGTTTTTCTTCCTCCAAATCTACCAGGTCCCCCAAACTGGTTCCTTCATTTTTTTGAAAATGGATTTCAATTTCTACATTGCAGAGGATCTTCAGGTCTTTGCTGCACTATTATAGGCATCAAGGAAATTCCTATTAAGGAATTAAAGCCTGCTAAGAGAACTGTCCCATTCAGTTCCAACTAGGACAAAAAGAAAGAGGGATAAATGCTCTCTTGCATCCCCAACTCTGGCTCCAGCAGCCTTGAGTTCTTCTCTCCAATAATTTTCTTCAGATCCATTACATTGGTCCTGCTGTTGAAGGAGTCGCAAATTTGTACTACGGGTAGTCCTTGACTTACGATGGGAATTCGGACTGGAATTTTCATCACTAAGTGATGTGATTGTGAAGTGTGACCGCATCATTTAGTGATGACAATCCCTGCAGTCCTGGTTGCTGTTTTTAACCAAATCCCATGGTCATTAGGTGAGGCAACTTCCTGCCAGCTTCCTACAATCAAAGTCAGTGGGGAAGCCAGCAGGAAGTTGCAAGTCCCAGGCCCACAAGCAGATAAGTGGCTGCTGCTGGGTGGGGAAGGAGTGAGGGGGTCAATGGTTTTGGGTCAGGGAGGGTGCATGAGGGGGTGCGAGAGGCTGGTGCAGCGCAAGCACAGAGGGGCTAGACAAAAGCATGGGTAGGAGAGATGTACCCCAGCAAATTGCGACCTTCCTTGCCAGCTTCCCCATTGGCTTTCTGGGGAAGCCGGCAGGGAAAGTTGCAAATGGCAATCACGTGATTGCAGAGCACTGCAACTGGTTGTAAGTGCAAACCAGTTGCCAAGCACCCAGATCACGAGTACATGACTGCAGAAGTGCTAGGATAGCCAGAAATCCGACGAGAGATTTGGTACAGACCCCCCTTGAGACCTATTCTAAACCACTTTCTTATTTATATTTATAGATATAATCAAAACTGAGACCTTCAACCATTTCAAGATCATCAAGATCATAGGGGTCACTTTGCTTTTGAAAGACAATTCTGATTTTGATAAGTTCAACACTTTTAGGGCAGATCATGGGTCCTTTTAGTACCAAACTTATCACAGTCCAGTCGGTGACCTGATACTTCTGAATAATCCATGATGTGCAAGTCAGACATTACACATACTGCCCTTTCACTCTGTACTCCACAAATTCCACTGCCTAATTTTGCCTCAGACTGACCTTTTAGCAACTTTTGAAAACATCACTCTCTTCTCCAAAACATTTCTGCAAGGTAGTTTTCACAAGTGAGTTTCATCCCACAATGGCCGCTTGACCAAAGATCTTAGTCTTCACCTCAGTCAGGCTAGTATATGCCGAGACTGCTTGGGCTGCTTGTTCACAGATTTTTACCATACCCCTTAAGCCACAGGACCATCCCTATTCATCCTCTAACAGAATTTCTGTAATCTCTTTGAACTTGATGATTATGCCTCTAATATTTCCTCAGTCTATTCAACATGTTTTTTCAATATTGTCATCCATTTTCTGGTTGAAGGCTCCCAGCTTTCCTTCAGAAAGTCCTTGTTCTTACACCAAACAAATTACAGAATAGCACAGATATTCTCAGATAGTAGAGGGCCCAATACACCAGTTAGCTGCTGCTTTGTCAGTCCTAATTCCAGTTTTTTCAATCTTGTGACAATCAAAAGAGACTTTTGGGCCAAGTCAGATTTTATATCATTGACTTTTCACCACATCAAGAATCCTTATAAAGAGGATTTTTATATCCAGCATCTATCACCTAACACAATTATATCACCACCATCAACAACATTCTGTGCTCAGGGACAAGAACAGAAAATTGGACATGTCATATGCAAGTTACACTCTTGAGGTATTGAAAGTCTATCTTCCAGTTGAATCAATACATTATACTGTCTCCCATTTTTCTCAACACCATGGAAACCACTGCTTAATTCTTTGGATGTCTGTTGTTCACTTGTTTTTTCATGGCCAATGTTTATTCCTGCCTTCCAAGGCCCATCCTCTCCACAGCATTTCTCTACAGCATTACTCATAAAGCCTTGCTTTGAATTGATAAAACAAGTATGTGTCCTTCTGATCTATGATTATTCTACAAGACTACTCCAGGGTATTTCCCCACTGGGGCTAAGCCTAGTGGACATGGGAGCTCCACCTTACTCCGGCACAGATTGGACCTCCACTTCCAGAGAGATAAAATTTTTGGAAGAGCCATCTCTCTTTTCTCAGATTATGACAACCAGGCACTTTTCTAGTTAAGAGGCTTGCTACTCACCATGTTGAAGAACTAGTTATAAACCAGCAACTGCAGTTCTATTGAGTGGTCATTTATAAATTCTCACAACTGGCCCTCCAGCCTGCTTGATTTCAAGTGATACCAGTATTTCCTCAGATTCACTGTTTTGGTCTTAGGAAATGAACAGTTTTGTTGACAGCCATGACTAGTTATGGTTCCACCAAACAACTCTGCAAGCTCTAGAATGTTCCAAATAGGGCTCTGCACAGGTACATAACCTATGTGTATGTATTCACAGATATTTAAAAGAACTGCAATTACAGATATGAAACCAGTTCTTTTCTTGAAAATGTGTTTTGCATTGTTACCATAGTGGTCCACTATATGGGCCTGTCTCTATTTCTACATTAAACATGACACAGTGCTACTTCCCCAAAGGGTGTAAAATAAATTCAAGTTTGCTACTTTCGTTACTATAAGTTCACCATATTCATAAAATAGTTTTTAAAAGCCCAAAAGTGAATGTGCAAAGCTAGCATTTTCAGATTTGTTGCTTATATGTATGCAGAAAGCTCTGTCAGTTCACTGCAAATATTTTCACTCAAAATAGCAAGAAGCAATTAAAGTCCTAACACTTGGCAACAGAATCAACAGCTTAATTTATTATATTTACCAGTTAGACAATTACAGTTCCAATAATATCCAGAATTGTTTCTCTAATTAGCAATTTAAAATGGATTCTATAGCTAAATATATTGAGAGACACATACTAACAGCTGCATGGTTCATGCACTGCAATTTTATTGATGAGGTATATATAACCTCTTAATACAATACTGCCTACAGGTTTCCAAGAAGGAAGCCTCTTACATTCCATTTTAATCAAAGAGGAAATGCATCAAATTAAGAAATTACTTCCCTGTGAATTTGCTCCATTTTAAAATTTCAAATACACTCACATAGTGAAAGCTTTGAAACTTTCCAAGTATGAAGTTTAGCAGAGAGGTGTACACACAATTCAAGGAGCACTTCTGATCTTTCTGTACAGAGTATTGAACTCAAAAGTATGGAAGATGCCTCACTAGGCAGCTTAAGGTTAGCTTATCTCTTAATAGCAAGTTTAACTTAAAGTCAAAAGAAATTCTAAAAATGTGCCTTTTGCCCTTTATCTATTTTCTATAGAGGCTCATAATGAAGTCATCACATTGTGACTTGAATGTTTGAATGAGTTCATACAGATGTCACAGCATGTAAAGTATTCTAAATGGATTCTGTTGACAGATTCACCTGCAAGTTATCAAATTATACAAATGCAGATGAAAACTGGTCAAATATTCACACAACCTGTCTCCCTAAAACTGTGATACAATACTATATGCTGATTATAATTTCACAAAACTAAAACGTGAGTTAGATACCAAGTCCCAAACCACAGAACCACTGGCAATCCTGAACTACCAGAACAATGGTTCTTCATTGCTGGCACATAGAAGTATTGTATTATCTGCTATAACCAGAGTCCAGAACTATCATGAAAGTACAGGCGATCCTCGTTTAGAGACCATAACTGAGATGGGCAACTTGGTCATTAAGCAAAGAGGTTGCTAAGTGAAACCACAACTGTGCTTATGATCTTACTACAGCTTCTCTTTGCTTTAGAGACCTGCAAAGGTCGTAACTGCGAGGATGGGTCGTAAAATTACTTTTTCATCACTGTTGTAAATGTGAATGGTTGCTAAATGAGGCAATTTCTAAATGAGTACTACCTGTATGGTCCTCCTGAATTCATTTTTGAAAGAGCAAAATATAATACAGCTAGTGATATATATCATACTATTTGAAGGAAATACTGATTTTAGTTCCCTCCATCCACCCTAAATTAAAATCTCAAACTTCTAAAGCTATGCCCATGTACTATAAAGTACTACTCTTATAGAGTACTGTAGGATTAGACCAATTATTGGTGTCAACAGGTTATATAACAAATGAGTTAATTTTGAAATAGGAATTATATTCTTAATGTTCTGTATTTATATTGCCATCTTGTGGAGACTTAGAAATTCTAATACAATTCCTGTAAACCTTCTGTTATAATTTTAACCTGCCATATATCCATCTCCTTTTCCCCATGGATCTTTTTCTCCTGGAATGCTAACACTGCTAGTTTTAAATTGTTTACTGACTTTTTCCTAGCAAGAAGATGGCAGATGATCTCCTTTTCCCTTTTCTCTTGTACAAACATTGAAAGCTTTTTTTTTTGCCCTATTTGATTGGATCAAACTAATAAGATCTTAATTCTGAAAATCAGAAACTTTCATGCCTTGATGTAATAGGTCTAACATTCAGCATACCTCACAACAAAAGCATGTAATTTATTCCCTTTATTTGTTAGCAGTGTATATGACAAATATATATGAATTTAGCATATATGAAATGAAAGTAATCAGAATTTGCCTGATACATATAGGTACCTGAAACAAAGGTAATACCTTTCTTCCTGCATCTTCAGTTCCCATTTAAATCCTCTATGCCCAATAGAAGATATATGGCACCACGAAAGACAGATAAACAAGCACCACCTCACATAATGGGGCTCACATTAGATAAGAACATGGAGTAAATTAAAATGAAGCTCTAAAATGAACAGTTTACCCAACAGTTTGTGCATCCTAAAATATGAAAACATATACAGAACACACATTCAATAGCAGTAGGTAACTCTGCAGAGTTTGTAAAACTATTCTAGGGTTTCTATTCTTTCTTTTTTAGAGTACTGATACCCAGCCTTATGATTCAAAGCATGATCTATTTAAAAAGAAATTTATTAATGGTTTGCAAAAAAGTTAAACGGAAGTAACACAATATACTGGCACTTACCTAACTTTCTTTTTGGTTGATGAAAGCAACTTGATGAACTGAAGAAGAAGAAAAGACAATCGAGATTCAAATATATCAAGGAGCTTTAATACTTCTTCCTTATTAAGGTTAGTAGATGGGTCTTCAACAGGAACTCTCTCAGCATTGTTTGAGTCATCAGCACATTTCTAAACAGAAAAGATGTGTATGGAATTACTGTAATGTCTAAATATGCCTTCAGAATTTCATTAGGTGTTCTTCTACAGTCAGAATTTTATGGTTTTTTAAAAAGCAGTTAAAGTGAAGTCACAAAATTGAACCTGTCTATCCAAACATCTTTTTATACCAAATCTGAACTTTGATATGTGAGATCTGAACATAACATGCAACTTAATATGCAAGCAAATCTGAACATAACATGCAAGAACTATGGTTAATTGAAAAACAATAGTTGCCTGAGGCTTTGGGGACAGCAATGGCGGTCTGAAGACGGCTCTGCTTTTGTGGAGCTGATGACCACAGCAAAAAGAGGAGCCGGTGAAGGGATCAGCTCCTTGGAACTCCTCTCCAGATAAAGGAGAGGTCAAGGATCATCCACAAGTTTGCTCCATACAGAAGCTCCCTGCAGAGAGATCGCAAAATAGCGATCTCCAGCAGGTTTGAGAGTTCTGGGAGCTGAGGGAAAAACATTCTGCACAAGCCGCAGTTCAGCGCCTTTCAAAGGGATGCTGGGTCCGCCTTCTTCCTCTCTTAATTACTTTAGGAACTTGCTTTTTATAGATTATTTAGAAGTTAAGAACCTTCTGAAGGACAAGTTTTATTGCATCGGGAGAATGTCCTTCTACCTTGGATGAAAGGAACTACATATAAGTCTAAGGATTAAAAAGAAAAGATTTACTTTCTGAACAGTAAAAGGGTTTGAAAAGTTAAGGGGCTAGAGGGACTTGAAAGAATATGTCCTGTGGGGTGTTTAAAAATTACAAAAAAAAAAAAATGAAGATTTTGAAATTAATTGTAAGAAATCCTCACATGGGTAAGTTTTCTTGTCTGGAAAATAAACAGATGATAAGGGGACGACTGAGGGAACCATAGAGAACAACCAATTACATTTAAAGGGGAAGAGACTCTTTAATACAATAGAGCAATACTATATAACTATAGAAGAGTTTAAGGTGGTTTGGGAGCAATGTACCTAGAAGTTTCTGAAAAGACTGTCTGACACTTTAATAGAGGATATAGAAGAACATCAGATTTCATTAGAGGAACAGACTGAGGCTGATTTGTATGTGGATTTGGAGTTTTTAAAAATGCTGGATTATAAAAGTTATTTGGAAAAAAATGTTGTGGATCTGAAAATGGAAAATGATGCTAAAATGGATTTACATGATGAAAGGGGACGTACAAATAATAAACCAGAAGAGTGATTTGGAAAGCCTTTTTATTATGGATTTACAAAAGGGATGTGTTAAACTAATGAAGCTGTTCCTGAGAAGAGACAAACTATTGAGGCTGTTCTTGAAAAAAGACAAAGAGAAAATTATAAGGAATCAATGTGTGGGACATTATTTGTTAGGATTAAAGATTAAACTTTTTACAAGTAAAAAGAAGGTTTATAAAATGAATCTATTTGATTATGGTTAAAATATAAGTTGCGATTTCTAGTAGTTACAAATGGGATTTCTTTTTGACCAGGACTGAAGGACGAGGTTTTTAGGATTTGCGTATAAGTGGGGAGAGGTTTCTTTTGCCTTACTTTTTAGAAAAAGTATAAACTGTAGTATAAAATGGATTTCTTTGAGGTTAAAATACATATGTTGTTATCTCTGGTAGCCCTAAATGGACTTTTCCTGATTAGGATTGAAAGATGAATTTTTACAATTTGATTATTGATAAGAGATGAGATATGGGAAGAAGAGAATTCTTTTATGAAATACTAGAGAAGGTGTTATAAATGGACTTTTCCTGATTAGGATTGAAAGATGAATTTTTACAATTTGATTATTGATAAGAGATGAGATATGGGAAGAAGAGAATTCTTTTATGAAATACTAGAGAAGGTGTTATATTACTGAAGCTATTTATACTTGTCTGGAGGTAGGGAGGAGTCATCTTTTATATATCTTCTTTTCTTCTTTTCTCTGTCTCTTTGCACTTCTCTTTTTTCTTTTTTCTTTTTTTACTATTTATAATTTTAATTTGTATTAGCCTTTTATCCTTGTATTTGAAAACTCTAATAAAAATTATTATAAAAAAAGAAAAATAATAGTTACCTGTTCACATTCAGCACCAAGCTCTTTCCTGATAGATTGAAAAAC